ACAACTAAGCACAAACACATAGGATGCTATAAGAAAAGCTACCAATAAAGGAAATAAGAGGGACATGGGAATTTTTTTGAGCTTCTTGTCAAATTTGTAGCTCATTACTGTGCCTTTTGAATTTAATCACCTTTTTTTTTTAAATGTGCTATAAGGAAATATGTCAATAGGATGCTATAAGAGAAGCTACCAATTGAAAATCTCCTTCAGCACGCTTGATGTATTTTGTGTAGATATGGAGATTTTGGGAGTTGTAAAATAGAAGAAATATCACACTAGTTACACATATGATGTATTATATTGGACTATTATTAAATTTAGTGTAAAATATTTTTTGCAACCTTGTAGTGGACATGTTTTAGACTTTGTATTTTGTGGTATTTTTCTTGATAAAATGCAATTTAAACTTTATGAAATATTAATAAGTTGCAATTTCTCCGACATTTTATATCATTATGATTATTCTTTTATTTTATAAAAAAAATTATAAATAAGTTTTATATTATTGTGGTTTTAAATGAATAATTTTTGAAAATACACTAATAATATTAGAAAAAATTTCAAAACTAGTCTCACATATATGGGAGGTGACATTTTGGCAATGTTTGGTAGACAAATAAGCTAACTTATAGCTTATTTGGTTAGCTTATAAGCTCGCTGTATTCAAATAAGTCTCGTTTGGTATGACAAGTTTTTTTAAAAAGCTCGAGCTTATTTGATAAGCTTCCTTAGGTAGCTTTTTAAATAAACCAGTTGAATTTTTTATTTCAGCTAACTTATCAGCTAGTTTTACCAAACACTTTTATCATATAAGGTAGATTTTCAGCTATAAGTCATAAGCTATATAAGCTATAAGCTAAAACATTATCGATAAGTTATAAGCTAGTTTATCAGCTAGTTTTACCAAACATAGCCTTTGTCCAGACGGAATAGCCGAAATCAAAATAGTCACAAAACTTTTAAAAAGTGATCAAAAGTAGGACTTTTGTTGCCGGATTTACGATTTCTTACCTAAAAACCATATCGCGCACAGATGGTTGTCTTTTTTTTTTTTTTTTTACACGCTGGCAACATGCATTCGACGTGGTTGTGTACACCTGCAAATAAAACAACCATACTCTGAATTCTTTCCACAATTTTCCAAAATTCACAAAACTCAACCCTAATTAAAAAATGTCTTTTGTCACCAGAAATGGGATATGTCATTGTGGTCGAAGTGTAGCTATTCAAATATCATGAAGGACACCAACACTGGCCGGCGATTTCAGTCATGCTTGAATTACGAGGTATGGTGTCATATAGAATTGTATATTTAATGAAGTTTCCAATTCTTATGTGAAGAATTAAATTTTATTTTTGATTCACAAGATGCTTGGATATAAGATTGTTTAATTTTGTTTGGGAATTTTTTTTTTTTTTTTTTTTTTTGTTTTTTTTTTAAAAAAAAAAAAAAAAAAAAAGTGGTATGATTAGTTGTTAGTGAGTTTTGAGTTTATATTAAACTAATATTTAAAATAAGATATATAGATAAATTGATTTGATGTAAAAGTAGGAGATATATAATGTGAAGTGATGGTTAGTTAAAGTTATGTGAGTGGATGAATAGTGAATTAAATTGATGTAATGCGTAAGAATGATTGAGTGATATTATTTAATTATATTGATAATATTGAAGATAATGAAGTTAAGTTAACGTTGCGTTAGATTTGAGTTTAAAAAAAAAAGTGAATGATTAAAAATGATTAGATTTTTTTAGGAAGTTGTGTATCCAAAGCTCAATTTTCACTGTGCAACATGGATGGTGTGATTTCTTTGATTAGTTCGATCCTCCAATTTGTTATATGTTTAAAATGATATTCACCGGTCTTTTGAGGAAGATGAATGAGAGTGAAGTTGAGGTTGGGAGACTAACAACCAAAAAAAAAAAAAAGATCATTTGGTGGAGTTAAATAAAAAGTTGAAAAAATAGTCTTTATTTTGGTTCTTTTGCTGGTGTTTACCATATTGTCCAATTTCAAAGTTGCTAACAAGATGTTTCAGTGACATTGTTAAGTGTTCTGCATTACAGGATGTTAGGATCTTATTTATGAAATGTTTTATAATAAAATTTGAATGGTGGCATAGGGAATATATTGGTGTTATCATTTTGAATGGTAGGATTGAGAAGATCTTTTATTGCTGTTTATATTTTGTGAATTGGTGGGATCCTATTCATGATGTTATGTTTTATTTTTGTATGCCATGTTGCATTGAATGAAATCATAACATTTTTAAATGTAAGATATTGTATTTTGAATGTCAAAAGCTATTATGCTTTATTTTTCAATGAAAAGTGTGATGGTGAACTTTAATATGTTTCATTGACTTTTTTAATGTTATGCAATATTTTGAATGAGAGAATCATTAAAATTTGTCAATATAATGTATTTACATAAAGTACACAATATAATTTGTGGATATAAATGACACCATACATATGCAAAAAAAAAAAAAAAGAAGTAGAATTGCAATATATTTAAACCAATACCACCAATACCAAATCAATTACATAGTAACTTGTCATTGTATAAAAAACATAGACACCAAAAGTTGTTTGTCCACATATGAACCAAAACAAGTCCAAAACAAGCATCCAATTGTTTCACAATCTAAACATATCCAAAATAGACATCCAATTATTTTCATAATCAAAATTTACAAAGAACTTAACCTAACACAAAAATGTCCATTTTTTCACTTTTTTTTTTCTCCTCCCTTTTCTTCACTTGCACTCATGGCTATGTTGAGAGGTCCAAGAACTTTTTCTCCCACCCTCCACCACAATTGACTTGGAGCGGATGGGTTTGGTACTAAGAGTCATCTGCTATATCCTCTTGTTATCGGTGGGATGAACCTGATATTGATCCTAGCATGTAGAAGGTTAGTTACAGGTGGCTTGTTTGAGGACATTTTCAGTTGCTCAAATGAAAAAGGGCCTGACTTCTGAGGCTGCACATATTGATATATGTTACTGTCAGCCTGACTTTCAGTTGTTGCAATCAAATCCTGATCTAAAATTACACTATTGTCTAAAAATGTAATCAATACATGTAATATGAACATAAATAATGTTGATTATTTATGGATTATTCTGGCCTAATTATTTTTGAATGGGAAGTAAATTAAAATCTATTCAAATCTAATAACGAAGAATGTAATTCTGCCATATACAATTGCGCGAGCCTGCCACTTTAGCTCAGCACGTTCTGAATTAGTATAGATAAAAGGGGTTGGCCGGAAAATTTAGAGCGTTTTTGTGGGTTTTTTTGCAAGTTGCCTAAATATGACTTCTACCACTACCTATGATTATAGGTTGTATTTTATGTGACTAATACAATACATTTTAATCATAAAAATCAGTTTAATTCATCATGATTGTGACATGTTTATTTCATGATTGTGACTAATACAATTATACAATGCATTTTTTAATCATAACAAATATCAGTTTAAACGATGTTTTTAATAATATTGATACTATTAAAAAGTGTGTTCGTAAAAAAATCTGCATGTTACAAAAAGATAACATTAATGAAGTTTAAAAAAATTGACAATATATTATCATAAATAAAATGAGATCTGAACAATAATTTATCAAATATAGATAGTAAAAATCAATAATAATCACATTTAATCCTTATATATAAAACAAGAAGATGAAAATATAAACAATTAAATGCTCACTCTCTTGTACTATTTATCATATATAGCTTAAATTATGTGTAGCTCATCTTGTTGAATGATTTTTTTATTGTTAAATTTGAAATTAACTATATTTTCTTATAAGAAAAAATGAACTGACAAATCAGAACTCACGTTCAAAATAAATATATTCACATAACTCTTTTTAACTGTTATCACCTATATACTGAATTATGGGCATACGTAATAATAACTATGTATATTCGAGCAAAAAACATATATTCGAGTAAATAAGAGAGAAAATAAGTGAAAATACAAAAAAATATTAATTTTTTCATCTCTAATTATTATTAAATTTTATTACGAGAATTTCACATAGAGATTAGAACATATGCACGGGAAAATGTTAAAAACTCCAACACAATTTTCAACAATTTGGAGTTAATATCATGAAATTATTAATGTTTGATATTGAAATTATTTATTGTTTGTAGGGATGCAATTGTAATGAATAATGCGCGTTTCAAACCAAATCCTTCCAAAGAAATGCAAT